TTTTTTTGGTTTTTCTCCGGTACCAGGAACCGAACTCACGACCTTGCGCTTGCCAGGCAGGCGCTTTTGCCGCTGAGCTAAATTCCCAGCTCCTCTCTCTGTATTCTTGCCTGGGAAATATTTGTTGTTTTGGAATTAGGCTAATGATTTTTTTAAAGAATCTAATTGTGTCGATTTTTAATACTTCTAGGACCATTAGCATCACGTTCATATATAGAATTGAAAATATTTATATAATTGTACAGAAGGTAACCTTTTAGATATTCAGAGTGTCTGGAGTGTCAGATAACAGTTCCTATTTTAAGAAATGTTCCACACAATATGAGAATAAAGTTTCATTTTATTCATCTAAAAACCTGCCTGTGGCTGCCTCTGTCTCTGGGCAGCCTGGTCAGGCCAGTGCCGCCTGTCTCAAGGGAGTGTCTGTTGGGCTGTGGCGCGGCCCAGCGTCTCTGGAGGCGTAGAGATGGGATTTTAACAGTGGGAGACATGAGAGGCCTTAACCTGTCAGTGTACCGTGTCCCACACTGGACAGCCGCTCTCCTGAAGGCCGGAGGTGCCAGCCTCAGTCGTGTGCGGAGATGGCTCTGAGGGGCGGCCCATTGTCGGACACCGGCTTTGGTTACCCCTCGTATGCATGTCTCCAGCGCACAGAAGTCAGAAGGGATATTCCTTGGCTCTGAAGGAGGATGTAGAGAGAGCAGTAGGAAAACATAGACTGAGCTCAGGGGACTCTGAGTCACACCTGATGGGAGACGAGGATACAGTTTCTCGTCCAAACCAGGATACATTTAAGAGTGGCGGGATGCACTATTAATTATTAATTATTATGCCAAGACAGCTGAACTGGGACTGTGGAGATAAACTGGGACATGTCATCTTCCTCTGGAAGGAAGTGGAAATCTGGGGACAGTGGTCCATGCCTGTAATCCCAGCACTTAGGAGGCTGAGGCAGATGGACTGTAAGTTCGAGGCCATCATGGGTATCATAAGTTTGAGGCCAACCTGAGCTGACAGCAAGACCCTGTCTAAGAAAAGAGTGTGTGTTTGTTGAGGGGGAGCAACGTTGTGAAGTCACCATCAACACAAAGTTTTTTTTAAAGGTGGTGAAAATTTATATTTATTTCAAAGACACAGTTTATGTTTTTTTTTTTTTTATTAGAAGAGTGTTCCAAGACTAAGGGTATGAAAAAATGTATTCAGTGAAATAATAGAAAATTTCCTAAATCTTCAGAAAGATATAAACATCCAGGTACAGGAGGCATTTAGAACCCCAAACCAGCATGACCAGAGAAGAACCTCCGGCATCATACTTTAATTAAAACTTCAAAAGTACAGAGCACTGGACTGGAGCTGCCGAAGGTTCAGGATGGTGGCTGTGGCTAAGGGCTTGGGGTGGCGTGTGCCGCTGCCCCTGCGTGGCTCCCAAATCCTCCATCTGCTCCTGGCTATGAGAGGGGGCGGAGTCCTGAAGCAAGGAAATCTGGACCAAAGAAAAAGCATTTGGGGCCTTGCAAGCCAACTGGAACCAACTGCTGAGCTCCAAGTGGTGAGGATGCTGAGTTTCCCACTGTGTCTGCCTGTGAGGGCCTGTATCTGGAGGTCCCCTCAAAGACTCATGCAGTTTTGGGGGGACGGGGGCCTTTCTGGAGAGAGCTGAATCTAGTTTGTGATTGATTCATGGGCCAATGCTGGGATTAAGGGTGTGAGTTCTACATTCACCCTAGGTCGGGTAGCCCAGACACCCTGTAAGGGACAGGAAGAGGCTTGTTTGTTCTCTCTCTCTCTGCCCCCCTTTGCCTCCCTCTCTCCCTTCCTCCCTTTCATTGCCTTTGCTGTCTTCCACCACCATGAATGGTTGCCCCTCTGCCATGTATCACCCTGCCATGGAGCCAGCGGATTATGGACTGAAACCTCCACAAACTATGAGCTTTCCCCACTTTAAATTTGGGTGTTGGGTATTTGGTCTCAGCAATGAGAAAAGTAACTAAGACACCATCCAACAAGATAGACCGAAGAAGTCCTTGTCTTCATTGTGGAGATATTTGTATGCAGATACACTCCATATCTGAAGGCGATATGAGACACCAAACTGCAGAAATCTAAGGCCAAGCATCCATCGCTACACGTAGGGAACTATGCAGAGTTTTTCCTGGAGTCAGCACAGTGAAGCAAAGCTGATCCTTCCATGGAGTCTACAGAACATGAAGGTAGCTGCTTCCCTGAATTCTGTGTCTTCAAGTGGTTGTGAAAAAGCCTTCCATATATTTTGATTTTGGTATATAACTTGTTATGCAGCATATGCAGGTAATGAATAATAAAATATTGTTCCCTTAACTGCTAAATTAAGCTGATTTTCTTTTATTATTTGTAATCTACTTTAACCTGGGCATTCCAAATACTATTTGCTGTTAGGTTTTTAAACTTTGTTTCCTTTTAATTCATGTTATTAGCTTATGTGGTCTTTGGGCTTTTTCTTTTACTAGTACATATTTGCTGTATGTAATGATCACATTCATCATAGGGACTTTGTACCTGAACATAACATACCTTAATTCTTCTGTTTCCCATTCCCCTGCCCTCTGTGCAACCTCTCTTCCCCTCCCCATTTACAAAAGCTTTGTTTTCACCTTTTTCATTCCATTTTCTTTTTTAAAATCCCTTTTCCCTTCCTTTCCTTCCTCCCTCCCTTGTTCCCCTTCCCATTTGAACATGTTCTTCCTACTTCCCAATACCTGTCCTGTTTTGCTCCTTATTTAGCCTTTCAGTTTCTCACACAAGAGAAACAACTGTATGTTTAAACTTGTGTGTCCGACTTATTTTACTGAAGACTATGGTCTCAAGGTACATCCATTTACCTATAAATGACTCAAGTTTATCCTTTTTCATGGCAGAGTAGTAATCCATTGTATATAAACACCACATTTTAAAAAATCCATTCATCGTTTGGTGGGCATATGGGCTGTTTCCAAGGTTGAACTATTATGAATTGTGCTTCTGTAAACATGGGTATGTATATATCACTGTGGATTGATGCTTTTAACTTTTGGGAAGATACCTAGGAGGGGAACAGCTAGGTCAAATGGAATCTCTAGTTTTAGTT